GCTATATATCTATCTGTTGTCTCTATTTGAGATGCAGTTTGTTGTTATTTTAAAGTTCACCTCGGGTGTGGTCGGGGCCCTAATATAACCTAACGGTTGAACGGGGTTTCTGGGATCTTTCCCCCGGGTGATTTTCATCCGCATGGTTGCACTTTGTGTCACCGTGTGTTTATCGCTTGGTGGCTATCCTGATGGGGTTGAATCTCATTCAACCTTAGTAGTAGTAGTTTGTTAGTTAGTTGCGTTATAATCATTGAACTCCGGACATGTTCATAGGTGCTCCGATCCTCCCCTCAGTATGAACCCCAGAGTCCGGTGGCTAACAGTAACAGATCTATGTTGATTAACTAGTCCTCTGATGTGCCTGGTGTACGTATCGTTTATTGCTACGCGGATCTTAACTCCCAAGTCTATCGTTCTGGCGAGTGATGTGGACTCACTGCTCCCAAAGTCCTCTACCCTTCCCATTTCTCGGAGGGCATAAATATTATCAGCATGATCCATTGGTTGTGATAGCGGAACCAGCTATCATATCAGCTCTTTCCTTTCCTTCGACGCCTGAGTATCATGGCATGCAAACAAAGGTGACTCAACTCACAGTGAACATCTGTTAGGATTCAAGCCATTGTCTTCACACCAAACTTGCCTGAACCCTCGGGATCATACTCATTAAATTAATGCGCGGGTCTAGTTTTGTGTTTCGAGCCACGCGAACGATTGCGTTACTGCCAGCACCTCCATCATCATGCGGCTGGTTGTCATAGAATGACGCGCTTCTTTGACTGTTCTATCTGATGGGCGTGCTTAGAATGCCCATGCGCTTTTTTGACTGTTCTATCTGATGGGCGTGCTTAGAATGCCCATGCGCTTCTTTGACTGTTCTATCTGATGGGCGTGCTTAGAATGCCCATGCGCTTTTTTGACTGTTCTATCTGATGGGCGTGCTTAGAATGCCCATGCGCTTCTTTGACTGTTCTATCTGATGGGCGTGCTTAGAATGCCCATGCGCTTTTTTGACTGTTCTATCTGATGGGCGTGCTTAGAATGCCCATGCGCTTCTTTGACTGTTCTATCTGATGGGCGTGCTTAAAATGCCCATGCGCTTCTTTGTTGGCGAATAACGGGTCCGTCTGTGTAGATCAGTACATCCGCCGCATCTGAATTTTCGTACAAACGTATGTGGCACTGGTATCCACTCTGCGCTGGGATCCACTCTGCGCACTCGGGGTGATTTCTGTTAGGCTGCAAATTTGCTTAATAACATATTCTGCCCGACCTAGCCATGATTGTCCCCTGAACCCTACTTCTCTGTAAAGTGAAGGGAATGGGGGTAGAAGAAGGGGGCTCAAATTGCCAAAGCTCCCAAATTCCCCTGTAACAAGGCACAACATCTTCAACCAGTGTCAGTACCAGCCCCAGAGACTGAGCTCCTGCCAGCAGCAAAGCCTCTGCCGGGGGCCAATACGTAGCCAGTGAAAAACACTGTCTAGAGTGGCGGAATGTTGAAAAAAAAAAAATCAAAGATCGACATCCTGGGAATGAGTATTGATCCGGCCCAAAGTTGGTACTAGCTGAAACAGCTGTCCGCTGTGTCATTTGTGTTCTCTCGGTGCAAAACAAACATGTCTGATTTTATCACAGTTCACTGCAACTCATTTTGATAGGCTGTAAATATTGTGACGTTCTATACCTACGTACAAGTCAAAGTAAAGGGGCCTTTTCCCACGCATTCAGGCGTAGTGGGCATATAAGGCTAGACCTATATTTTAAAGACCAGTCGGCACTTGGTGGATGATGTGGTCAGCACGACGCCCGCCACCTTTACTTTCCAGGACTGCACTTGGTACTTACTCAAGGCTGGGTCGACTTCGGAGCCAAAATAATTTTTAAAAACTAGTCCGGCTCCTGTCAGGACCCGAATCCACGACCTTTCGATCCGCAGGCAAGCATCTAGCTGCTACACCAACGCGACTCCCTGTATATCTACGTACCGTGTGAATATCATAACGTTTTTATACATAGCAACTCACCACGAGTTTGTTGGTTTTACTTGTCATGATACATTTTGGGGAGACTTCTAGTTATTAATTTATCCGCTCTGTCAACATTCTTACTCCAACTCTTGCTGTCTTATACTGTCATTATTGTTACTGGCGGGCGGGTGGGTGGTTGGATGGGTGGGTGTGTTTGTGTGTGTGTGTGTGTGTGTGTGTGTGTGTGTATATATATATATATATATATATATATATATATATATATATATATATATATATATATACAATTATTTTAACTGTAGAAAAATTACGAAGTTACACAATGAACCATCTTCCATCTGAGACCGGAAGCTGGAGCGACGTCTGATAACTTGTTAACCAGCTTGCCACTTGACCCGGGAAAAGAAGTTAGCTGCTGTACCATTGTAGGCCGAAAAATTCACAACGGAGGTCAGAAACTGTTGGACGTGTCTGGAGTGCAATGACAATAATCTGGCCCGAATAGGTCACCGTAACGTCTGTCTTATATGATTATTTTTACATCAACACAGTTAGCTCCAGCAGAGTGGCAAGATGCTACTTTGCTGGTTTAAATTCTTTTGAAGTCTGAGTGCATCTGCCTGAGAGGCCAGAAACCAGCGATCTTGCATGCAGTCAAGGATATTGTATTGTTTAATTGTTTTTCTGCATTCCAAGAATGGGTTACTGCAGTTCTCCCCCCCCCCCCCCCCCCCACCCTTTATGAAGCTGGTAATTAAACCAAGAAGCTTCCGTCCCTGTAGTTCACATACATGTATACATGGACGCAGATTCAAAGAAAGCAATTTGGAAGTTTAAGGGCTCGGCGCCCTAAGAATGTTCTGGACGGGAAGTCTCATGGTGTCAAAGCCTTATTTAGGTGGGTAATAATTAATAATAAGCCTAATTATCTGAATGAGAAATTCATATTACTCATATAATATAGTGAAATCACTATGAAATGTATCAAATTACCACTTAAAAAGCGAACGTGTATGGTTAGGTGGGACCCTTCTTATACAGCAGAACGTGATTTTAACAGTTCTTCTTCTTCTTCTTCTTCTTCTTCTTCTTCTTCTTCTTCTTCTTCTTCTTCTTCTTTCTTCTTCCTCTTCTTCTTCTTCTCCCTCTTCTTTTTCTTCTTCTTCTTTTTTTTTCTTTTCTTCTTTTTCTTCTTCTTCTTCTTCTTCTTCTTCTTCTTCTTCTTCTTCTTCTTCTTCTTCTTCTTCTTCTTCTTCTTCTTGTTTTTCCTCTTCTTCTTCTTCTTCTTCTTCTTCTTCTTCTTCTTCTTCTTCTTCTTCTTCTTCTTCATCTTCTTCTTCTTTTTTTTTCTTCTTATTCTTCTTCTTCTTTATTCTTCTTCTTCTTCTTCTTCTTATTATTATTATTATTATTATTATTATTATTATTATTATTATTATTATTCTGCTGATGCTGCTGCTGCTGATGCTTCTTCTTCTTTTTCTTCTTCTTCTTTTTCTTCTTCTTTTTTCTTCTTTTCTTCTTCTTCTTCTTCTTCTTCTTCTTCTTCTTCTTCTTCTTCTTCTTCTTCTTCTTCTTCTTCTTCTTCTTCTTCTTCTTCTTCTTCTTCTTTTACTTCTTCTACTTTTTTTTCTTTTTCTTCTTCTTTATCTTCTTCGTCTTCTTTATCTTCTTCGTCTTCTTCATCATATTCTTCTTCTTCTACTAATGCATTCTCTCTACAAATTGTGGTTGGCATGATGTGGTGCTAGACTGCGATATCTGCACCGTTCCAACTATGGGATTTTTAAATATTCGTAGTTACCGCCACTTATGACAGGAGGGTTACGTGGTCTTGATGTGAGACGTTCGCCTCGAGTGCTGGCGGTCCCGGGTTCAAGCCCTGGTGAAGGCTGGGATTTTTTCACATTGAATTCTAATAATGTTCTGTTGCCCTGGGTAGTAAGATTAGACGCCCGTGTGTATTGTTGCGCATGTTTTAAAAAAATCCCTTGGCAGTTGAAAATCGAAAAATAGAAGTCTAACGGCGCTTCCCGTGCAAAATTAGGAGTTTAAAATCTACTCAAAGTATTTCAGGATCCTCGTCGGTGCTACAAAGTTCGTGCACCGCGCTGAGATTCTTCGGACTCAGGCTTGAGTCAGAAGTGGAACTGAGCACTTATGGGTAACATGATGTTGATCCGTCGTCTAAACCTAAACTTATGACTTATGTGTTAGGGACAGGGGACCTATTCTTCACCCGCCGCCGTACATACCACCTGAACTCCCACGGGAGGGCAGAAGTGGTGGTGAACTAATGTCTACACAGGTGCTGTTTTGAGAAGAGCGGCTTGTTCGTACAGTAGAGAAAGATGGGCTTTCATGTGGGAGAGAGATCCGGGTTCGAATCTTTGATAAGGTTATGAGTGTTTTTCTATTGAATTCTATATTATTATTATTATTATTATTATTATTATTATTATTATTATTATTATTATTATTATTATTATTTTTATTATTATTATTATTATTATATGCTGAATGTCAAATTTAAAGAATACAGATTTGAAAAAAATACACAATGTATGAACAAACAAACAAAATAGAATGCAAATACATGTTGGGGTGGATCTGATCTCTAAAAACTATTGAAGGGGGGGGGGGCGCTTGTTGAGGGGGGGGGGGGGCGTTCAAGTCGCTTAAGCCTCTATGTTCCGGCACCTATGTGTGGGACTATGATAATGATGGTGATGATGATGATGATGATGAATTTTACAGTGATTATTATTATTAACCATCATAATTAGCACTGATAAAAATTAAAAATCAAAATAATCAACAATATTACAAATACCGACACCTTCAGAAAGGTTTTGAAAATAAAAATCGTAGCTTGTCTAGATAATTGTGAAATAATGAAGTAGGTCAACAACTCAAGTGGAGACACACATGACGTCACTAACTACACACAATACAGAGGCAAGGCCACGACACACTCACACTGACTGTTGTTTGACAACAACTCACCGTATTAGCATCTCCACGCCTGTATCCTCCAACCGTCTTTTGACCCCTTTCCAGTTCTTCTTGAGTTTGAAGACTTGCATGGGGGTCAGGGGCAGACGGGGATCTGAAACTGGTTGTTGATTACCGCCACCAAACCCTCCTCCATTGCTTGTCCGAAAATTTTCAGCCATAGAAAATAATTGTCAGAGCAGTAAATGTTTAACAGAAAATCCAATCCAACTTTTTTTTAGAACATCAATGAAACCTCCCTTCAACTAAAAATTGCGGATTAAACGATGCGCATTTAAATGTAAATGAATCTTAAATGTTGTTATATAAACCTGAATTCTGTATCATCGACGGTTTGCAAATGTTTAATTTTATTTACAGCGTTCAAGAAATTGTTAAATTTTATTCCTTACATCATAATTTTGGCTAGTAAATAGCATCCTTTCTGGAAAGCTGAAATATTTTGGTCACATCAAGCGCCACGACTGATTGGAAAAAATTATAGCAGAAGGCATGGTACCAGGAAGGAGGGGCAGAGGCCGACCAACACGAAGATGGGCACAGGATATAAGTGACTCCTTGAGTGTAACAGTTCATGAGGTGGGAGAACTGGCGAGAGACCGAGTTTCTTTCAGGCAGACTGTGATGAAAGCGACGTTCTGCAAAGGACCTGCTACATGATGATGATGACATCATAATTATTTATTTAATGTTATTCTTATATATGTAACTCGTGCCATATAGTGTTGGTAATTATGTCTTTCTGCAGCAGTTTGCCTCGTGTACTGTTAATAATTGTTTGATGCAGATGTGTGTCCATGCCATGATTCTGAACTATCCATATCCTCTCTTTTGGTCTCTATCTGACTCGCTTCCCGTCCAGTTTTTGTTTCTTTGTCACTCCAGTGTTTCCATTCTCAAGACATGACAAAGGAATGCAGATTGGCGCTTCTCGGTGAGGGCAATTAGTTTTCTTGCTAGACTAATTTCTTTCAAGATAAATAAATGACATTTTTTTCGTTAGGCAAGATATCTCACAATTTTTCTGTGAAATCTTATCTCCGCAGTTTTCACATTTTTGGAACAAACCAACAGACTACACGTTATTCCTGACTATAACATAAGGACTGTCTCGGGTGATATAATTTTATTGCCCAGAATATTTTTTCTCTCTCTCTTAAATTCTACTTTTGCTTGAGCTATTCTAAATGTTACCTCTTTCATCCTCTCATCCATTTGATGTTACCAGTGAGCTGGATAAACAGAACCTTATATCTCCCTCGACACCCACAGCGGTAAAAGAGGAAGTGAAGAAGAAGAAGAGAAGAAGTGAGCTGGATGTTAAACAAGTAAAGGACCCTTTCCAACGCGTTTTGGGTATATGGGGTTCCACCTTTATTTTATAAACCAAATGCACTTGTTGGGTGATGTGGTCAGCATCACCAGGCCGCCTTTACTTCCCAGGAATGTGCCTGGTACCCACTCAAGGTTGGATAAACCTGTGAGGAAACCGAACCAACGACCTTCCGATCCGCAGCGCTTGACCACGGCTGCTCCCTGTCTTTTATTATTCATTCTGAAAAATTTTTTTTGTTATATTGTATACACTATGTTGTATATCCTATGTTGTATACCCTAAGTTGTATACCCTATTTTGTATACCCATCATCACGTAGCAATCCTTTGCAGAAAGTGGCTTTCATCACGGTCTGCTAGTGAGAGGGTGGACCTAGATCTCCCGCCAGATCTTCCGCCTCCCATACTTTCATACCCAAGATGTCATTTATATCATGTGCCCATTTTCATTCTGTTCGGCCCCTGCCCTTTCTTCATAGCTACATGCCTTTTGTTATTCCCCCCCCCCCCCCCCCCCGACTGTGGCCTTTATGGCCGAACAATTTCAATTTCCCAATCGACTGTGGCGCTTTTTGTCATTATATTCTTTGTCCACGTAACTGAGAATTTCTATGACATTTCACCTTAAAAGCCCTATTTTACTCCTCAGTGACGAAGAGATAGTCCTCGTATTGTATACTATCTGCGTGAAATTCTTTGTTGTGCAGTGACGTCGTTCGTGACAATATAACATACGGGGAATACAGGAGAAATTACGAACGTCAAAGGTGCAGTAATCTCATTCGCGATAGTTTCGCATATGGAGACTATAGGAGACATTGTGAAAGTCAAATATTCAGCGACGTCATTTGCGATAACATAACAAATGTTGCCACTACATTGTGCCAAATATTCATCAAAGCGTGAAATTAAACCCGTTATTTGTCTAACATCAAAACTCAAAGCAACACTAAACCATTCACACACAGGCATTTATATCAACTTATTATTGCTGGAATATGAGATTAACATTAATTGTATGATACTAACGCTTTACCTGTTGCTAAATGAAATTAAGAAAAAGACCCTTCTTGCGGTTTTTAACAGTGATACGAGAGTTGCACTGTGGCCACACCATGCAATATACCCAAAGTTAGCAGTAAATACAATTTACTCAACATCCATTTTGAAGACTGCAATCTTTTTGGGTAATTATAATGATCTGAATACGTTTAAACTAAGATTAATGTCCACAGAATAATACTAACCAGTTTGCTTTTCTGCAAGGTCGTCAAAATAAATACATTTCCAAATAGACTAGAACGAACACAATCGCCGTGCACACACACTCCACATGAACTGTGTCAGAGATCCCAGTTATGGTTGTTGGTCAGGCGACTGTTGTCGTTGCCTCTGTGGTAGGTCCGTCCTTGTTGCTCCCGTCGGCTAGGCACGGCTCGCGCTGTCTCCTCGCTCACGCTAAAATGTCTTTCACTTTCCCACTAATTACTTTCGGCTAGCTTTCTCTTCATGCGTGCGTGCAACACACAGGCGGGCCTGCGATACAGCAACCTGTGCATGGTTGTCTTGACAGAATTTTGGGCCCCTGGGCCAACTAGTGTGCTGGGGCCCCCACGACAACCGCTCACAGAAATAAAATGTTTATTTTGGGCAAGTCACGGGGCCCTATTGTGCGGAAAACAAGAATAGACCCACTGCCTACCAGAAAGCATGTCATAAGATTCGATTAACTGGGAGCTCCCTTTGGAGTCGACGTGCATCTACCTAAAAGGCAAGGGACGAACAGTTGCAGGCAAATGTCATATCTGTGAAAAGGATTCACAAGCAACACTTAGGTTCTGGAAAAACACTAAAGATAAAAAAAATGGACGAACAACCAGAATTTTCTGCCAAAATGTACAGCCGGTGAACGCGAAAAAGAAAAAAAATGAAGACAGAAACAGTTAAAGGATAAGTCGAGAAGATCGACTTAATTGCACCGGGTTTTATCCTAAGGATCGGTCTCTCTCTGCAGAACGGCTAGCGGCCTGCCGAGAGCCCTGCGCAGAGCACGAGTTTCGTAGCTACAGCGACGATCCCCAGGAATCTCCGTAAAAACTGCACTCGTGAACTAAAGGGCGCAGTCGTGGAACGAACCCACTACCTTCAGAGCGCGGGATAAACGGCTTGACCACTCTGCCACGGAGACCACCTACAAAGATAAGCATTGGACCATATGCTGGTGGACCCAGGGGTCCATGCGTCAAGACGGCCCTAAATGTGCCTGCAAAGCAGAACTGAAAAAAAAATTAACGTGTTATACTGAACATTTTTACGGAGTTTACTGTTACCACGTCAGGAAAACCTAAAACGGTTATGTCGAACACTTATGTAATACAGTTATGTGGAGCACTTATGTAATACAGTTATGTGGAGCACTTATGTAATACAGTTATGAGGAGCACTTATGTAATACAGTTATGTGGAGCACTTATGTAATACAGTTATGTCGAACACTTATGTAATACAGTTATGTGGAGCACTTATGTAATACAGTTATGTGGAGCACTTATGTAATACAGTTATGTGGAGCACTTATGTAATACAGTTATATGGAGCACTTATGTAATAATGATGACGTTTAACCCCACCAGGACCACACAACGAGCGATAAACACCCAGTGACGCAAAGTGCCACCATTCGGATGAGGATTCCCACGTGGACATGTACCAGAAACCCCGCTATATTAGGTCCCCCCCCCCCCCCACTCCGCCCCTGCAACAGCCAGTGTGGGGCTTCAATACAATTAAAAAATTGCCTCCGACACTGGGACGCAGAACCATTAATAGCATTTATGTAGACTCGGCTAAAAAATTTTATTCACAGTACCAGTGTGTATCGGCTCAGGTGCTAAGTCGATGCGAACGCTTCATAATGCCGGGATTCCGGGTTCGACCCCAGCTGCGGGCAATGCGCGTTGCGTTGGTTTCGACAGTGGTATCAAGAAAGCCGACCGCCCAGAAAGCAATGGCAAATTACTGGATGTACATTTGCCTAGAAAAATCATGGGGTTGGTTCTGCAACGTCCTGTTAAGGATACGCAGCTAACAAAGACCAGTGTGTAGATCAGCCAGGCTTATTGGGTATGGGAGGCTCTGTCCCTTTAAAACTGTTCACTCCGGGGGTTCAAAGGGTACGCTGGAAGCTGCGTGATCTCGAGGCATCGTGTCCGCCTCGAGTGCTGGAAGTTCTGGGTTCAATCCCTGGTAAGGGCTGGGATTTTTTCACTTGGACTTGGACTTCTAGTAGTTTCCCCCTGGTCTCTGGGTAGTGAGGTCTGACGCCCCTGTGCATTTTTGCGCACGTAAAAAATCCCTTGGCAGTTGGAAGTCGAAAAGAGTATCCTAACGGTGCAGCCCGGGCAAAATTTTGAGTTAAAAATCTACTTCAAGTGTTTCAGGATCCTCGTCGGTGCTACAGAACTTGTGCACTGTGCTGAGCTTCTTCAGACTCAGACTTGAGTTAGAAAAAGAACGGAGCACTTATGGATTACTACCCGTGTGACATGATGTTAGTCCGTTGTTCAAACCTCAAACCTCAAAGGGTACACCTTGTTTAGGTGCGCAATAATAACAACAATAATAAACTGCTCGTTCTTCAGTGTTTATTCACCCCAAACAACGGAAAATCCCGGAGTTCCCTCGAAAGTGTCATAGTTTGAAATGAACACCCACCAACCCTAACACCCCTATATTTAATACGACCTTGACTCCCAGGTCCACCCAGCCCTAAATGGGTACTAGGTAAAGTTCTGCGAAGTAAAGGCGGCCGGATTCATTTTTGACG